GCGGAGGGATATCGACCAATACCAATGCATCAACATCAACACTAATGAACTGGTTGCGTAGCGCAAAATCAACGAACATCACGGCATCATATGGAGCAAAAGATAAATTGAGGTCAGAAGCTATATTAGGATCCGAAGATCAACTAGGCTTTGAAAATATATTGGGATCAGCGGAAGACTCAGTCTCCAAAGAGAGAGAAGTAACGAAATGTAACCCAATTTTGGAAGAAGACGAGCCGCCTTCGAAACGCCAGAAACAAAGCGACGCTGCATCAGGTCATGGAAAATCATCATCTAGTCCTGGTAAAACTCTCACCACACCGAAGAAAAGGAAAACTAATCCTCCTAAATCCCCACGGAAAACCACCACACCTAAATCAAAGAAAACGAAGACTCCCGTGCCCCCAAAAATCGTCACGCCCAAAAAACCAGAGAAAGTAAAATCTCCCAAGGGCGTCATAATCAGAACCGAATACGTCGCAAACCCCGCAGCAGTTTTTATTCACCCCATTGAAGCTACCCACGGGAACCTTCCGGACTTTACACTCGACGGAGAAGGCGAATTAGTATTTCAAGGAGAACGAAACAAAGATGATGGTCTGCTGTACTGGTCCCTGAATCACCGAGTAGTCTGCGAAAAATATGACCGTCCCGAAGCGGAATATTTTGAACCACCCAGAGAGACGTTGAAAAAATGGCGTGCGTATTGTGCGTTTCGCGGCCTGGATACCTGCGGTACTAGAAACGAGATGCAGGAAAGATTGAAGGCTTATTTTGAATCTGTTGAACGTACTGAACTTACCGAGCAGGATGAAAGAGATGAGATTAGCGAGAAAGATGAAGCAATTACAGAACCAGAACGCCTAAGGGGAACAATCGAGGAAGAAAGATATCGCCCACGTGACCCTTCCTGGCGCATCCAAAACGAAGCCGAAAGAACCAGATTATGGAGTCTCCTCTCCACAGAACAGCAATTCGAGAAAAATGTATCGCTCTTCATCACTGAGAACATAACTAACTCCAAAGATCACGACGTGTGGGTCTTCAATACACGCCCCAAGTTTACCGTCGCTGAATGGTTCAATTTTTTTGAGAAAAATCGGATTCTAGATATTGGATTGGTGTTTACCACTCCGCCTGAGTCTCTACTTATAGAAGATAAATCCCTCGAGATGAAATATCAGCGAGGAAAAATGGTAGCAGTACCGTTCTCCAAAATCTACTGGGGAGGAACATGGGTAGCGACCGGTTTCGAAAAGGGCATGATACTCGCGAGGACCCAGACACTAGTGAGGCAGAAACTCGAGGAAATGTGCGAAGAGGTCAGGAAAATTATCCTTGGGAGATATATCACAGATTTCCGAAATGCGGGAAAAATATCTGGTGAGTCGGATGTATACAATTATCCCCTTTCCCGAACTAACATTAAAAGTAGCAAACTCATCTCAGTCCCCAATTACGAGCACGTGGACCGCGAAAGAAGTAGAACAAGCGCAAGCTCTGTGGAATCGCGAGGATGCAAAAAAGAGAAGTTCGGATCTCACATATCAATTCGGAAAAGTAGTGAAAGAGAAGGTTTCATCTCCTACAGCTGCTGCATAAGCGCGGTTCATTGAGTATTTTTAAAATGCTCGCCATGCGAATGAGAATTGTGGGCTTAAGAAGTACGACATATGACTTCTAATGTTCGAAATTTGGCTAATCTGCCGTATGTTTGTTATCTACAGCGGCCTGATTTCAATATGTGATGTGGAAATTTTGGGGAGATAGATATATTTAATGGGGGTGCGTGCTGGATGGTGTAGAGATCCTGCCTTTGAGAGTTGGTAGTTTAGGTATGTTGAAAGAATGTTGTTCTGGCTATCTTGATTGCTACGAAAGACGGGACTATAGACCATATGGATACTATTGAAAATTTAGAAGAGAATCCTAGATAACGATCGGTGGTCTCAGACTTGAGTTTTAATGATGCTTAACCCGCAGTTACACCAGGTTGTAATAAGCTGTTGATACATTGATTCCAACTTTTATAAACAAGGATAGACTGCTGTCGTCTGGTATTCTGAAAGGATGAATTAAATGAGATTTCCAGTGTCTGAGTAAACGTTAATTTTCAGGTAATTTCAATAGTCCAATCAAATTCAAAACGCAAGAAGCCAATCATCGTACCATCCTCTGAGACAATTCCCGATCCCTAATAAACAACGTAAACACCAAAGCTAATCCTCCCAATGCCAACATTAGAAAGAAAACAGCTCTTACAGCGCCCATATAAGCCTGCAGAGCCGATTCTTTCAAACCTTCCTCAAGACCATCAACTACCCTGAAATCATCAATAATTCGCTGGATGCGTTCTGCTGCATTATCTATATCCCCCAGTTTCTCCCATAACAATTTGCCCAGCACATTTTGAAACGTAAGTCCCGCTGCTGAAATTCCCAATACCGTTCCGGTTGAACGAAAGGCAAAAAGTGCGGATGTGATAACCGCCTGATCTTTCGCTTTCACCGACGACAAAAGCGCGAGAATAGTCGTGGTAAGCGTAATTCCATATCCAATATTAATGATGAAAAAACAGACAAAGGGGGGCCAGACAGATGTCCGTAATGTAAATGTACAGATAAACGCCATTCCCAGAATATAGATGACTTGGGATGCGATACCGAGTTTGTAAAATCTCCCAGTACTTTTTACTATGATTCCAGCAATCATAGAGGCGATGGCTGTGCCGATTGAACCGGGAATGAGACGGAGACCAATTTTTGTGGCGGTGTAGCCCTGGGCTTCGAGGAAGAGGGGGAGATAGAATATCATCGCAAAGCGGGAGGCGGAGGAGAAAGCATTCGTGAGACAGCCGCCTGCAACAGATAGATCGCAGAGAAGAGGAAGTGGTATAATTGGTTCTTTGGCGTATTTGAGTTCGGTGATGATGAAAACCAGGAAGGATATTAAGGATAGAGGAAGACTGATTAGAACGATGGAACTGGTCCACGATACTGTGTTACCTCCGGCACTCATACCAAGGAGTAATGTAACGAGCGTTGTGAATAAACTGATTGAACCCAAGTAATCAATCCGTTTGAGCTTTGATTTCCCCTCCCCATCATCTACGGTGGGTATACGTATAGTGAACCATGTCCATATCGTAGCCAACAGCGTGACGGGAATTTGCAATAAAAATGTAGCTCTCCAATCTAGAGAGTCATTTATCCATCCTCCAAGTACACCACCTATACCGGATCCTACGCCCAATATCATATTTCCAATGCCTTGCCACATACCTCTATCTCTCAGAGGCACTAAATCAGACAAGAGAAAAGTTGCAATGGCCATAATTCCTCCACCTCCTAACCCTGCTACAACTCTACCGGCAATCAACACCCATTCCGTTTTCGCACTTGCGCACATGTAATTCCCAAAGGCAAACACAATGTTCGCAAGTACAAGTCCGCTCCGTCTCCCATAAATATCAGTAAGTTTTCCTGACAAAGGCTGAACTGCAGCATTGGCTATGAAATATGTAGAAGCAAGCCAAGGAAGATGAGACAATGAACCAAATGAGGAAGTTATGGGTGATGAGAGTGTAGCAATCATGGAGGAATCAACAGCTGCTACGAAGGCGGAAAGGAAGGGTCCGATCATGAGGATCCATACGTAGAGTGTAGAGGGATCGTCTGGGACAGCAAAATTGGTAGTCGAGGTATCGCCATTGGGATAGAGGATTTCAGATTGGGGTTCTGGTGGTGGGTTGAGCAGCGGGGTAGTTTCAGTGGGGGTTTGTGTTGCCATCGGGAGGGAGTGTTTGGCTCGATGGTCAATGGACCAAAAAAGACACGAAAAATGATGAGAGATTGGAGATAAACAGCTACTTATATGAAGATAATGAGGTATAATTAGCGGGGCCAAAAGTCGGTTGACATACTAGGTACCTCTTCATCATTGGATCCCTCAAAAGTAAACAAGGGGGAGCGGGGTAAAGCAACCCGTGTCATGAGCCCGACGTTATTACGATGCATCTGCATATATTCCAGCAACCGCCAATGGATGGCCACAGTGATGGTCAGCACCACTTGAACACAGCAGCGAGCGCAAAATATTCAGAATCTCGGTAAGAGAGGAGTTTGGCTTGGAATACATATTAAGACTACAACGAGCCTCCACGTGGGAAAAGATTAGCCGGGATTCGAGAAGCCGTAAAGCAATGGCGAGATAAAACTTATACCAGATAAATAGACATCATCGAAAGTGGCTTTTCAATCTTGACATGCGCAGCTGTATATATTGTTCTGCATGCTCAAGAGCCTTTCAGATATATCATCCCGCCATTTGGAACAACAGCTGTCCTGTTGCGGTAATCATCTTGCTCAAATTTGAGTTGAGCGTCGTACAACCCATTTGTGATGGATAGAGCTATGCCTCGTGAAGCATCTAATTACTTTTTGGAGGTTTCGAAACCGCGAGAGATGACAGTGGGACGAGTGGAAAATGTGAGCTGAGAAGCTCAATAGATTATCTCATTGATCCAGTTGATATGTGGTAAACAATTAGTCTCTCACGAAACATCTGGCTGTCCTCAAATTATTGGTTGGTGATGAATAACATATGAGGGTTGGTGGTGAGGAGGAAGAAGATGTTTAATATAAAAACGTCACGCTCAGCCCCTCACAAATTATTAATAAGCACGGATCGCCAGATTCAAAGCTCGATACCTAAGAGCCCTAGATCTTCAGCGTTCACTAAGCATTTTTCAAGGGACCACAGCTCCTAGAAATAACCTACTTGATCACTCCGTAAACTTCTCCCACTCCTTAACTCTCCACCAGCCGAAGTCATCTCAACTTGCTAAGAACAGTCGAGATTTTGAGATGAATATGGGGAACTTGAGACGAACTCCCACAATCTTGAAGTCATCTAATTTTAGCCTCGACATGCCCGGTTCCTCTTGCAAGTATACAGGATTCAAAAGAGCCTGCAGATTAGCATTGGATAGGAAATCACATCATCATAAACAGAATCAATTAGCAGTACCCATAAATAAACATTAACTAATCATTTGTGAAGATGCTTCATAAAGAGCAGTGCAACAAAATTCAGCACTTCTCGGTAACTTCAAGCTTCTCTTCGACCCTCAATTTACGTTCACGAGTATCGCATCCAAGCCATAGAAGATCCGGCCGACTATAGTGTCCACAGACATCCAAGAAACTTCGCGCAAATAGCGCTTGATCAAGATCAATATCTCCATACACAATTCCTTCAGTTCTAGAATCGAGAGGCGTCGACATAACCCGGCCATCAGGGCCAATAATAACCGAAGCACCACCTCCTGGCGCTGACATCAACAATCCTCCTTCTGAAGAATTGGCATTAACTCCTTTTTCTGTGATGACAGTGGTGGTATGAAGAACAAAGGTTTGAGATTCAATGGCATATACTTGGGAAAGGGCTTGACATCCTGGAAGATGCGTGTTAGTGACACCCTACAGTTGAGAGAATTGTATTTCTTTACCTTCCAGAGACATTGACCATAACTCAGGTCCACCAGTATGATTGACAATTGGTGGCCATGCCGAGCAATGAATTTGCTCCCTTTGATGTAAAGTATGATATTTCAACAAGGGTTGACAATGTTCCCAGCACGCTAGAGTTCCAACCTTTCCAACGCGAGTCGAAGCAACATTCATAAGACTGTCTCCAGAAGAGTCTCCAAAAATTGTACGCTCCATATGCGTAGCCTTTATCTTCCTTCTTTTCATGACTATCGTTCCATCGCCATCGATGATAGCTTGCGCAATGTACAATGAGTTATTATCGTTTTCGGAGAATCCTAAAGAGACGACGATTCCATGTTTCGCGGCACAGTCTTGGATCGTTCTCATCTCATCAGAATCGATGACTAGGGAGTTCTTGATGTATGTGGTAGAGAGAATTGGGTCGACTGGGCGAGTCCTGCTGTTCGGTTAGTATCGGAATTGGAATAGGGTTTTAGATATTAGAGTTTCTCACCATATCCAAGCAGGATAGCCTGGAATAAATGCTTCTGCGAATGTAACTAACTGCGCACCGTTCTCTGCAGCCTCTGTGATAATGCGACATGTTTTTTCCACCGACTTCTGCAAATCAAACCATTCCGGCTCATGCTGAGTGACAGCTACGCGATATTTCGTGGAAGTAGAGATAGTCATGCTTTTAGTAGAATTATGAAAATTGTTGGTAGAGAAATTATAAGATGAACAAAGTGAACACCACAGTGAGCATTTTCTTTGTTCTTATGTATTCCAAATATGCAACCTGTGATATCCCGAAACTCCATGATTTTGGTGAGATTATATCAGGTGATGCAGGTGTTGTGCATGAATACCCAAAAAGAGAAATTTCAAAGTACAGTAAGATACTACATGGCTTTCCCCGCATTTGATAGCTCTTATCTTGCGGATGAAGCCCCCGCCGGCCGATAAGACAGTGGCTTGGTTGCTGACATACCGCTAAAAATAAAGATTTCGCGGTACTAATTCCGCCTGAATATTTACATTCTCCTTGGAGAAGCAAATTGTACTCGGGTGCAAGCACAATTGACGACTACATCCATCTTCCGACTGATGGTCAAATTTCGGGAATTCTCTTGTCTTTAACATCTCCTCGACTACTACTGCAGACCAGGATTGCTTTCGTCGAAAAGCCACTCAAGACTTGATTGATACGCAATATGTTCAGGCAGATTGACATGCTCCAAAGCATTTTCAAACAAGCTTGGATCCCACAGAGCCACGCAGTCATTATTGAAACCAGTATGTATGTACTTGTTCGCGACTTCACCCATATCAAATACATGGGGTATTTGAGCGCCACCAGTAAGGACATTTGAAAATTCTTGTATCGGTACCATAATTCGACTGCAGTCTTGACGAATTTCCTTTTCTGGTAGGCGCTGGCTGAATTTTAATGGTAATGCCCAGACTACTTTCCATTTGGCTGCGAGCTCTTGGATTTCTTGTATCGCTCTGCTTGCTTGTGGCATCCACGTAGTCTGCATCTCGACTAGAGCATCCAAGCAACTTTGCAGGCTATTGGCAGATTGCCTCCCTAGAAAGTTGCGACCAGAAGTTGCATTTAATAAATGTATTACGGCAGCACTAAGGATGTAATCTATGACTTGAGGATTGGCATCAGCGAAACCACGAAGTTTTCGATATGCTCGAACAATTCGAGCTATCGAGGCAGCGGCGTTTGTCGCTGATCTCAAAGCAAAGCTCAGAGTTTCCGAGCCTTTAGGCTCATTTAAAAAGGGACGATGAATGAGCAATATTGCAGTGTGATATGCCAACTGGAAAAGAAGGAAAGTTTGAGGCATGCAAGTCTTACTCAGAGCTAGCTTATCATCGGTACCGGCATAGAAATCTGTGAGTGCTTGATGCGCGCGCTTCAAAAGATTTTGTCGTTGCTTGGCTTTCAAACCGGTCCACTCGAACGCATACCTAATTAATAATTTGAGTTCATTGTTCTTTAATTGTGATACGAGAACTTACCTTTGGTCCATGAAAGAGTCCCAAAGATGCCATAGCTGGCAGAACTTATCATGAGCTAATTCATCAGGTGACGGGTTATGATCCAAGACGCTGAAGAATGAGGATATTCGAATGCGTTGCCAGTGTATGGTGCAATTCATCCCGAGACTTGAGGTTACCATGCTACACACATGAGTTATCACATTATACATCGTAGTCCGCGTACAGATAGACTTACCGATCCACCGAAAAATAAGCCCAAAATGACCTTATTCGGCGTTTACGAACATAGTCATCGACCGTGGAATTGCGATTCAAAGTCAAGTCTGGCAACTTCCCTGGTCCGAGGCTACTCACATGAAGCCCAAGATGCAATATCAAGCCTGTGGCCATAGCTGCCATAATTCTATCAATAAATGTTTGAGCAAAATATGAGAGAAGATATACCTATGTAAGTGTAGGCCATGCTATTATTCTCCAGCATCAACTCTCGCCACGATAACAATGCAAGTCCTTGAACAACCAAGTCACTCGGATGCTCCCGTATACATCTCAATAGGATGTTCTCAGCAGATGTGGAATGGTGAATACTCAACTTCTTTGCATCCGACTTTGGAGAAAGAAAGGCACCCACGGAAAGTAAAGCATGATTACGAAAGTCAAAATCCAGCTCTGTTGAGAATGTGGTCTCCAATAAAATGGTTTGAAGCTCTCCTTGTTCTATAAATTGATGATAAATATTGAATGCAGCCATGAAACATTCAACGAGATGCGTTCGTGTTTCTGTGTAGAATCCAATCTTGCCTAAGTCTGTATCATGACTGCTAGTATCAGGATTCAAGTTCTCGGTTGAAACCGAATTTTGTCTAGAGGAGGACTTGTTCCTTGGGATGGTAAATGACGGTTCACCTTTCTCCTCGATATCCATGGTTAGCATCAATGAAGCAAGCTCCTTCATTGCAACCTGCGAGCGCGGATCATTGGGCTCATCAATGCTCTCTGGGGTTATGGCCTCAGATTCATAAGTAAGAGAACTCGTGGTAGCAGGACTGCGTACGGGCAAGATCTCATGGCCCATATATTCTTCATTGTGTTGAGATTGAGGCTCCGAACTTTGGTAATTTGCCAACTGGGCCTCCAAAGCTTTCACTTTGTCTTCGAGACTACGGACATAGCTGTCATCACAATGTTTACGTCTGTAAGCATTAGTTAAGCTGGTGGTGTGGACTGATTCGGTCAACTGAGAACATACTTTCGCGAGGTCTCTGGGGGGTAATAGCACAGCTTCCCTCCTTTCTCACATAAAGCACATGTTGGTCTCTGGCCTTGGCACTAATCACAATTAGTATATAATTCTACGGAGTATTCTAGGTCATATTATGGTGTCAATAGATACCTTTCGTTTATTCTTTCGACATTCTTCACAAGCAACTTTGATTCGTAGACGTGTTTGCTCATTGGAAGCCACGGATTCCATGACTGCGGATACACAACATGAACCCGCACGTTTGATAGTCTTCTTGCAAGTTGAAATATGCTACATAGGACAATAAGCTAAATGAATGCTGTTAGTATACGATATGACATGCATGTGGGAATGTCATTGTCTTCTCCCCACTGGTGGACCTTACATTTGTAATCCGCAATGGAATTGTTTCCGCGGTCAACAAGGTTAATGATTGATGGAGACCTTTCTCTTGGTACTGAGATACAGAAAGATTCACATTGAAAGCTGGTTCCCGGTACCAAGGTATGTATATCACTTGCTGTTGCAACTTTTCAGGTCGTTGTCATTGTCAACAGGTAATAGGTAGTAATAAACTTATGGTCTGAGCTCTTGAGCTATGCAAAACGTGGTTAGTTAGACATCAATAGTGTAGAAGCGTACCGGCAACTTCCTAGGACTAACATACCGTACATATTCTGGACAACTTCTTTGAATTCTAATCTCCTGCATACAAAAAACGGTCATTACAAAATTGCCGTATTTTAAGCGATTTGTTCAAAGAATCAATATCGGACAATCTCAGTAGCCTATCTCCGCAGCCAAGTGGCTCCAGATTATCTGAACATAGGTAGTCTTACCATATATTTGATGTCATCGTCAATTCACAACTATGTCGTTCGGGCGGATACTACATCCGCAACATGAAGATAAGAGCCAGCCATGCTGAAATTAAGGGGCACCCATGCATGGGCAAATTTTCCCCAGGCATAGTAAAATGCATTATAAAAAATCTTTCAGATCCTTCCGTAAGGTTACTGCTTTCATGTTAGTACTTTCTCAAATGCTCAAAAGTCAAGATTTTGCATGATTTCTGGAGACAAGTGTCAATTTTCGCGCCATTATTCACTACTATTAGCCTCATAAACATTGCCCATCATGGTTTTTCTTCTTGATATGGACGGAAAGGACTACATCTTTACCTATGGGATTTTTGGCGTCCAACACGAAGAACTTACGCCAGAAAAAGCAATTTTTATATCCACCCTGTACAAATTGCTCTCTTCGTCTGCCAACCGTGTCGACCATCTTCAAGACGAAAGCCACGGACTTCCTCGTCATGGACCCAAATCCACAACTTTCATCGCCTATTGGTTGTCCTCTTCCTCCTACCAATCATTCCAAGCCTCCTCTCCAGTTCAAGAATTCTGGAATTCTCTCCCTCCAGACGCAGGTGTCTGGCGCGAAGTAATGACCGTCCCGAAATCGCGCTTCATGTTCGCCTCAAGTCAACCCGTCGCCTCAGCAATGGGCACTCTTCTTCCCCTAAAACAAAGTTCCGACGAAGGATACTGGGGCGTATACCGTCATCGAATATCCAAAACGCCAGATTCACATACTGATCCTAAAGATACATTTACCTCTGCTTATATTACTACCACCAAAGCAAAACCAAACGACACGAGAAAAACTATCGATATACCTAAGACCCGTAGCTCCAAAATAAAATTAGGCAGAGTAACCATCTCCAGCCCACCCGATAATCTCATTTTTGTCCGTGAAGGACAACGCCAGCCAAATATCCCACCCGCAGAAACAGAAGCCTGGCTCAAGAAAATAAATCCACATGCTCAATCCTGGATATCTCATCTCGACACTGAACGCAACAAAAATGGCGTAGTGGCATTTACAACACACATAGGCCACGAGAACCCCACCCCGGAGATTGTGAATGAAAAATTTGATGCCAAAGGAGATTTAGAGCTTGATACCGAAGCTATCGCAGAGACAAACCAACTTGCATATTTCTTGGATCTGTCGTATTTTGAGCAAGCAGGTCGTTCGCATAAGAGTCATGTGGAATTGAGAAAGACGGTTATGAATCTTTATGGACCTGGGGGTCAGTTGGAAAAGGGAAAGTCGGTATTGTTTGTGGAGCTGTGTATTTTGAAGTCAGGAGATTTGGACGCTGAGTACATAGGTTGCGCTGAAGGCACGGGTTTGATGTATTTGGCTAATTTGCAGTAAACTATGAAATTAATAGGAATCCCCTCGCCAATCACCAAAGACAGATGTTAACTAGATATTCTATCCTCTGATAAAAAGTCCTCCACCTTGTTCTGAATATGCATCCACCAATAATTCGTTAATTACACCCGAAGTATTCAATGGTAAAATTTACTCATCTCTGGATGTACATTAAGCAGAGAGGATGGATGAACCCTAAGCACATAACTGTCAATACTAGGTATATGGCGCATTATCCACAAATTCTCCATCGGAATAATATGTGTATTGGCCGTCGTCGACAAAAGGATCTTTAACCATGAAAGAGCAAAGCTCTCCCAGTCGATAAGTATATGTGTCGAGATTGAGTGTCCTCTTTTTGGATTCATCATAATCCCAGGCGGCTTGAGCAATTTCCTCTTCCTCTTCCGTCCAATCTTCTTCACTCTGTGATGAGGTGGTATCATCTGAGAGAGCAGGTGAATGTCGTTGTGGAGGGATATCTAATTCCATGGTGAGTATTTGATCAGACAAAAATAATCACGAATGGTACCTACCTCTTCCTTCTCTCTCCGAGTCTCTGATCTTTTTGACATAACCCTTAAAAATTTCATATTCAATCTGTTCACACATTTCTTCAACTTTCTGCTTTACCAAAGCTCGAGTTCTTCCAAAAATGATTCCTTTCTCAAATCCACTGCCGGCCCACGTTCCTCCCAGAAATTTACGATCCTTCAAGTCAGATGCTTCGTCTGATAGCCAAGGAACCCCATCTATAATACCTCTCTGATATATTGTATCAGCTGGGCGACCGTCTGGCAGTTGCGGATAAGTTGTGAAAATAAAACCAATGTCACTGCACTCCAGAGCTTCCGATACTTCCAACCATTTTTTGGTTGGAACTTTCAAGCAAATTTTGAAATTCCAGACATCCTGAACAGGGTTTTTAGCAAGTACAGTCTCTTTAAGAACACCTAGAATATCAGCTTGGAGCCTTTGTTCTATTGGCAATGCCTCCCATAATTTGGTTTTTTCAGCCTCATTACGTTGTTGCCACTCACGTTGAGATGTACTGACTTGGGGTGCCATAACCAAATGAACTACAAAGCCTTCAGATGAACTAGAAGACTCTGAATACACCTGAGCTTCTTTGGCCTTGATATAATCTCTAAGTCGTTCTTGCATCTCCGCAGCCTTTCCAGAAGTGTCCAACTTTCGGAAAGCGCAATATGCACGCCATTTCTTTTGCGTCAACGCTGGTGGCACCATCATGTATTTGCCAGTGTAGGGATTGATCCGAGGATTGAGCCACCACTTTATCTTTGAATCCCCTTCATTTGGTTCTCCATGATATGCTAATTGGCCTGATCCATTGCGAGTAAATCCCACCATGCTATCACTTGAAGCATCGGCGACAAGGGGCTCGATGAATACAGCAGAAGGGTCGGATGTATATTCGGTTCTGACCTTGACGCCTTTTGCCTTGGGTATTGCTGCTTTCCTTGGAGAAGATGAAGGGGCTCTCTTTTTCTTAGGCGTCGCAGGTTCTGCTGGTGGAACGATACGATTACTAGGCTCCTGATGATCATCGTCATCATACGTGACATTTCTCTTCTTCTGACGCTTAACGACGGGCTGCTCTCCATCTGACTCAAGTTGCTCTTGATACGAAAGTGTAGCTTTTCTCGATCTTCCGCTGCGCCTCGTGCCATCGGCTGGCGCAACTGTCGAATCTGCACTCATAGGAACATATTCTCCTCCATCCTGAGCTTTAGAATTTTCTGTCTCATGGATTGTTTCAGAAGTAGGGGCAGCTGTAACAACGCTTTTGAACGGTCTACCTCTTTTCTTGAGAGCATTCTCGCTCGGGGTGGAAGCTGGTTCTTCGTTGCTCGATTGTTGCAAGATCAGTGACGGCGGAACGGGGACAGTCTGGGCATCCATCGTGCCAGATCTTCATCAGGTGATGAAGAACTTTATCTACAGTAGTAAATTAAAGATTGTGGAAGTTCCTAGTCTAGACTGAAGAGCTTTTTTTGAATGTTGTTAAGTACAGAGGCCACAATTCTTTGAAACTGTCTGTTCCTCTGAATATTGAAACAGATCAAAGGCTGACAGGACTTTAAATACAATGAAATTTCACTTACATGGATCTACGTACGGAAGCGAATGATATCGTTATCGAAGTTTGCCTTACCTATATCAAATGAAAGTCTCTCAATTTTAAAGTATGGCTTTGGAAATCGAATTGTGTGGATCATCTCAACGATAACAGTCAACATTGCCCCGCAATGATAAGTACCGGAACCTGAATAAGGAAGCTAAAATTTCGGCCCGTTCCTTCCCTAAGACTTAGCTACTTATTGCTATATTGAAACTTGCCCAGATGGAGTAAAGGATGTATTTCGATTCCCCTTACTTTAATCATCTCCCACTTTCCATAGTCGAATGGTGCAAGAACATTCATTTTCATTGTTGGAACTCCTGACTAACATTGTATCCCTTTTTAATCATACATCATACAGTGATACATATCACAGAAGCTAGCAGTGTGATCTGGTACTATTTCTTATCTTTGACATAATAATCGAGAACTTGAATACACATAGCTTTGATCAGTCTTCTTTGCTGTTCTAGATTTATATATAAAATCTCCTTGATACCTCGAGCGGTAATGAATCTCGAAATTGCATCCGAGATCCAGTTCTAACTCTTTGGTAGCTTCTTCAACACCATCTTTGGAGTCTTATCAGGACTGTCAGGAGGTTCCTTCAAGCCTTTTGACATATTTTTCTGTAACTTTTCCTCGGCCATCAGTTCCTTCGCTTTAGTAATGAACTTCCTTCTCTTTATCTCTTTCTTCCTCCATTCTCTTATCGACTCTTCTTTTTCCTTGAACCGGGCTGCTATTCTATCAAGTTCTTTTTCTACCGCATCTTCATCTGCCGTATTTTGCTCCACCAATTCCGCTCTCTCTTCCAAAGTAGCCTTGAAAGTATCTTCGTTTCCCCAAGGCTCTCCGTATCTTTCAACAACCCAAGCACAAAATTCTTCCCAGTCTTTCTTCCACTCTCGCATTCTCTGTGCCTTTAATCCTTTCCTTGACTTCTCACCTGATCGGATTCCCGATTGCCAATCTTCGTCAGTCTGATCTTCAAATTGTGACCACCTCACACTGTTTTGCGCCAAATGACCCTTTTATCATAAATTAGCTTGCAGGCTCTTTCATAATGATGAAATCGATCCATAGAGGAAGTACACATACCAGACCACCCAGATCTAGATTATCCCATGACCAGATGCACATGAAGAATTCCATTGAAACGCCTATTGTTTCTTGACCTAATAAAAACGGGTCATCACAATTCAAACTAGCACTTACACCTTTTGCCAACAGCATTGGTAGAGTATGAGCATTAGCAGAATTTGTTAATCTCAAACTTTCATCTGAGAGTGGACAGGACTCGATCATAATTTGTCGCTCTTTACAAATCTTTTCCAGCAGTGGGTGCCTAGGAAGTGAATATCCATGACCAATACGTCGAGTACCTAGAAGAATGGCATCGCTAAACAGCCAACGATCAGCATTCAAGAGTATGAAATAGGGTTCAAGCATACTTACTAAAGGTTATGGTCATTTACATCACCATTACCCAAGCATTCTCCTGCATGCAAGAAGAATGGAATGTTTAAGTTGCGGCTTTCGTATTGTTGCTTAAACCAGAGGCAAATAGGTACGAGATCTTCGAGCGTACGACCGAGTTTTTCTTGTCCCTCTAGATCGTATCCTGAGATCAAATCTGGATATCGTTCCTTCACACGCATGCAAGCCTCCATATCTATTGAATGGAGTCAGCTTTTCCCAGAGATACGTATAAGGGAAACATACCGGCTTTGATTTCTTCATCTTTCCACAGTCTCAAGCCTGTCCAGATAATCCGCAGTCCCCACCATTCTTTGTTTTTCTTTTTCATCGCGATTGCAAACTTTTCTCTTTCTTCCCAGATTACTCTTGCCATTTCAACCTCTCCAGATGGTTTATCACTCCACTCTAATCGAAATTCAACTTTGAAAACCATCCTAATCTCTATCCACTTAACGTTATCCTCGTCCAACCCTTCAAAAATTCGCTTGAGTAATGGTCGGAAAATTGGCTCGTTGTGAATTATCGTATCAAGTAGCTTTTTCCCACTCTGGAATGTATTACAAGCTTCGTTGATACTTCCACTGACATATGGAGGCTGGGACTCCGTCTTCGTTAATCGAGTCCTCAACCAGGTGATGAAGTAAGACTTGCCCCGAAGAGGTTGTCTTTCAAAACCAGGTGCGATACGATATTTGTCATAGTTCGCAGTAGAAGGGTAATCGCAGTATGTAGACGCCGCAAGAGAGACTGGAACAAGTGAGTTGGGTATGTAATCAGGATCCCAAATATTATTCACTGAGCTTCTAGTCTGTCGAGGTTGCGAAGAACTGTATGTGAATTTTATTTTTATTCTCTTCTCTCTTTTTGCCCACCATTCGTCAAGGGGCCTTGAAGCGCTGATATACATGCCCGGGGTCTCGATCATCTTCTCAATGATAAAATCAATCGAAACGCAAGCAGCGTGATGGGCGTGAAGAATTGCTCCCTTTGGTAACTTTTTCATTATCTCTAATAAAGCTGTCCTTGCCATGGATTCTTTGATGCGGGGGAAGCCAGAGTCTGAACGTAAGGGACTCATTGACTCAAATGGATCAAAAAGAACCTGCCGGTTGAACTGTTGAAGGCGAGAAACTATAGTGCTGGCGGCTTGGGCTGTAGGCGAAAGAGATTTAACAAACCCATAGTCTACAACGTTAGTCTGCCATATTTGGGTTGAAAAATGAACGGAAGACTCACCTCCTCTATACTTCTGTTCATCGGCGACCAGTTTCGCTCGGTTGCTTTCGTACTCGCTGAATTTTGTTGAATTCTCCATTGTTATTGAATTCGATTATTGATATCACCATACTTTGCGGGTATAAAAGATGGACAAAATAAGTACATTTGGAAAACAAAACTTTCATTCTTCATGGTGATAATTCCATTCAAAGGGTTGTTGTTCTTTGACTGATAGCACATCCCGTGCCGGTGCCTCTTTGTCCTAAATCATCTGCATTTGGAGATACAACGAATTTCACGAAATTCGAATTGGCGAATAAAGGGGTTTCATTCATGAAGTTGTTGAAAGGCATAGGGCTGGCAGGAATACAGAATCAAGAGATTTTCGCACGATTGAGAATACTAGAGGTGATTCCCATATTCTAAGAGTCACACAGCTCGTCATCTACAGTGTTACGACGCTCATTAAACTTTGGGCCAGGTTGCTAGAGGCCTTTAGATATGGACGATATCTTCTTCATCAACATTTTACTTCAACTACTCACATCCAAAATACTAAGTAGGACTGATGGCACTGTTCATGTACCGGAGACTAGACAGCACATGCCACCATCAAACTTTGAGATACCCTGTTTATTTCTAACGTTTCAGAGCTTGGGTTCTTTCCGTGGATAGCGTGAGTCTGCAACTTTGCTTGGCCCAAGCTTCAGTATATATATATAGATGTGCAAGTGAGCTATGAAAATTGTGGATTTGCAGTTGGGACTTATAGCCCCGAAGTAGAGATGGGAACTGACCAGGTATCAGCCCGCTTTCTTCGTACCTGTAGGCTGTAGGCTGTAGCAAACCATGAAAAAAAGAACGTCCATTTTCTTGCATATTTTTCTTAAGGTTTAGGTCGCCTGCCGGTTGATATAGATTTCTGCTGGTAAAAAAAAAAAAGCTCTCCACTATACTAAGCAACTTTAACCTTACACTGGTAGGTAATGCTACACCGATAGGGGACATTTGCATGCCATGTGAGCATATTCAGACTTTGGATTCGCATTCAAAGTGATAGATGTGCCCAGAGCGAAGTGGAACAAGTGGAGAAGACAGACATCTCGGATCCAACCGTGTTCATGACAACCGGGATGTCAATTATCCCCACAAGAAGAACGCTTTGTGCACGACCCGGATCCATCTTAAGCGCTTCATAAGATGGACTTTTTAATTTCTGTTTGCTAATAGCTTCCAAATTCACCTGCAAAGAAGCTTTCCAGCCCAATCGAATCATTCTAGAACAAATACACATAGTCCCTGCATGTACTCGAGGTACTGCATTGAGAACGTTGTTCCTCGGTGTGGTAATTTATCAAACACGTTGGTATACGAGACATTCAGGGAAATGACGCTTTGATCGAGATCATGAGAGGGGATCGACACGTTCATAGATTTTATTGAACAGATGCTCTTAAGGTTACGAAGACTTTGGAGCGCTGGGTGAATTTGTGATTGAGAGTGAAAAATGAAGACGAGGATGGAGGGAGGGAGTTGAGGTGAAGGTGGAGATTATGGAAAAGGTTCTTCGGAGAAACTTCTGCCGAGAATTTCCACGCTAACTCTCGTTTGCGTCGCCAAATCATTCTCTTTTATTTTACCCCTTCACAATCTTTCCATTGTCAAACAACGATTCATTTGTCACCTCCAGCACATCAGTATTTTCACATCATATTTTTGACTTTGTCTGTGAGAAAATGGATACCGTCGGTACCGTTGAAATGGAGGTGATCTATTGAAATCCGCATTGTTTTTCCAAATTTGGAAACCTTTTCCGCCCCGCAAAACCTGACAAGTTCAAGCTTCACGGTGAGCTAGTAGAGGTTCCCCGTTGACCGCAAAATGGTGGAGAATTATTTCTTTTTTTCTTCAAATTTTATTCTCCTTTGCGCAATTTCGTCTACTGTTTTCGTTATTCTTGGGTATCACGAGTGACATAAGCCCAACGTTATGCTCCAGAGCGTTCGAAGTACTGCGTCGGCACTGCGGATTTTGTTCCAGATTTTGAGTTGGCAAGACTTTTTGAGTGTATTACCATCGCAAGCTAGCATCGTGAAGTTATTAGTGTGTGCCATAATGGAGCTTTGTAGTGATCACACACCAAGAGCATATTTGCTGTCGGCTCTGGGGAAGAGGGCTAGATCTCGAAAGGGATGGCGTTCAGTCAAGCTGAGTGGTAACGTTGGGCATTGACAACCAGAAAGTATCCTCACTGAAGCTGAAGCACCCTGGCGCAAATTTCATATATGAAGTCGTTATTTCCTTTGTATTTTACAGTAAATCATCACATCTTCATTAAATGCACACAGGAAGTCTCTCAGCATCACAGTTAGCCCCATACTTCTTACCACTCTCTTGGATCTTGTACCCTTTTCCCCCCATTCGCGTTTGATTCTTAAAACTTCATATCTGTTGCTAGGCACAGAGTTTTCGCATCAGATACAACGATAAGAACACAATCCCTCAAACATCTCAACCCGCATATCATGGACCAATCCCAGGTCAACGAAAACTCCACTTCAACAATCGATCTTGAAAAGAATGCAAACGAGGGCTCCTTAACTGGAGCTCCCGGCTTAGAGAAAGAGAAAACAGTCGTTGTTACTGTTACTTCACTCCCTGATCCACTAATAGATGAATCCGATTCGGATTCTGAGGATGATTATAAGTACCCCGAGGGCGGATTGCAAGCTTGGCTAGTTGTCTTTGGGTCATGGTGTGGCATGTTTTGTAGTTTCGGTATTGCAAACTCCACAGGTTCATTCCAAGCCTACCTAGCTACGAATCAGTTGGCGTCTTATTCTGATTCTCAAATTGGATGGATCTTCTCATTATACTCATTCATTTTGTTCGTTGGCGGCATTTACATTGGTCCTGCATTCGACGTTTATGGACCAAGATATTTGGTTCTGCCAGGAAGCATTTTACTCGTCCTTTCCATCTTCCTCTTTGGGGAGTGTACTGGTAAGTTTTTGAATCCAAGAAGCAAGATCGTGCAAAGCTAACTGTTCCCAGAGTACTGGCATTGGATCGCCGTATTCAGCATACTTGGTGGTTTTGCAAGTTCGCTGACCTTTACTCCGTCAGTCGCAGTGATTGGTCACTGGTTCAATAAGAAGCGTGGAAATGCCACTGGAATTGCAGCTACTGGTGGTGCTGTCGGTGGCATTGTTTTCCCGCTTCTCTTGGAAAATCTCATTCCAAAGATTGGTGTAAGTATTCATTCTCCAAACTTCTCCATTCAACACAGAACATTACTAAGCGATTTCAATCTAGTTCTCATGGACAATGCGTGTAATGGGCTTCATCTTCGTTTTCATCACCGCTCTAGCCAACCTCCTCATCAAACCTCGTCTCCCACGTTCCCAAACTGCTCAAAGTCCTCATCCAGATATCAAAATCTTCAAGAAGCCGGATTTCGCCTTCACGGTATTGGGTGTCTATCTCCTTGAATGGGGTTTTTTCATTCCAGTCACTTATATTACATCTTACGCTCTTTATCAAGGATTTGATGCAGGAATTTCCTATCAATCTCTGTCCATCCTATCTGCTGCATCTGTTGTCGGCCGTTTCCTCCCGGGCTTGGTAGCTGATATGATTGGCCGTTTCAACACTATTATTATGGCACTCTCTCTTACCGTATTTGCCTGTTTTGTCGTCTGGCTTCCTTTCGGAAACACTTACGCTGGTTTAATTTGCACCGTCATAATACTTGGATTTGCATGCGGTAGCAATGTCGGTTTAACCCCCGTTTGCGTAGGCCAATTGTGCGATACCAAGGATTATGGCAGATACTATGCAACTTGTTATTCAGTTGTCAGTATTGGATGTTTGACCGGTGTTCCAATTGCCGGCGCTCTAATTGAGGCCTGCGGGGGTGCTTACTGGGGATTGATCTTGTTCACTGGTCTGTGCTATGCTTCTAGCGCAGTTGCTATGGCATGTGCAAGAGGTTATGGTGGCGGATGGAAATTGAATGTTAGATTCTAGAGATGAGGTCGACTACTGGATACCGAGAGCACAGGATTGGGATGAGAGTCTTTATGGGTAACGCTTAATGAATAATGACTAAAAGTGCATTTAGATGCGCATGTATATAGCGGTATTTGTTTGGAGGTGGCGTTCTTACTTAGAGGTCATCCATATGGTGTTTAAAATGGGCTTGGCTACTATTTATAATGTATATAATGTTAACGAATCTATGATATCAAATCCTATTTTCCGATGAACATTTTCTTTCCTTCAATAACAGTCATAATCACTTGATCTACCTAAATAAGTAGAAGTTGTTTGGTTTAATGATACTAACTTTTTGTATGTACCTGACGATGGAAAGAATTCATCCTTATTTCTTGGATACTTGGTGTTCATCTCGCTAAAGAGTCGCTTACCCTCTCTCCCAATCCACTGCTCATCCTGCCATATCCCCGAGAGTTTCTCTTAAAGACCTTAACTCCTCCTCCCGATTTCAAAGAAACCGGTATCGAAAGCCCAGCAACCCATCAACAAGCAAAATCACCTCAGAATGAGATCACACTCTTCGATAAAGAGAAAAAAAAGATGTCACCAATCAAACACTCTATTATTCTTCAATATCTACATTCTCTTAACTGACGCCTTAGCTTCCACTCAATACGATAAACTACAAACTGAGTGAATATACCAAACTCCCACCTCATTCTCTTTTCATCCATTCTCACTCACTCTTCCGAGTATAAAACCACCAGCTCCACCAAGTATCAACTCTATCTTGGAAAAGTTGACGCCACGTTTTAGAAGAAACATGGCGAGTAAAATAAAACTATTTCCATTATTTCCACTGGCATCTGCATGTTCTTCGACAAAATCTACCATCTAAAACGACGATCCATTATAGGTACATGCATCTTCTCAGTATACTCTTGAAGAACAAAACGGCAACGAAAAGATGTCTTCGAATACTTTCATTATCGTTAAACATCATATCAATGACAACGTCAACCATAACATCAACAGCACTCACTCGCCAATAAAACCTTGAGAAAAGAACACTCTTCCAGACCTAAAGACCAAGAATTC